TTCCCTCCAGCCCTGGCTACAGCAGTATGGCTACCTGCCTCCTGGGGACCTACGTACCCACACCCAGCGCTCACCCCAATCACTGTCGGCCGCCATCGCTGCCATGCAGAGGTTCTACGGTTTGCAAGTGACAGGCAAGGCTGATGCAGACACCATGAAGTAAGTGCTAGACCCGGACAGGAATCCTGCCCAGCACCCACCGACGATGCTGGGTGCCAGAGATGCTACTACCCAAATGCTGGCTCCTGGCCCTAGCCCTCCACTGTATCATAACCTTGACCTCATAACCTTGGCCTTTCACCACACTGACCCAAGTGACAAGCCTCACCCCACACTGGCACTGGGCCCAGACATCCCCCTGCCCCTGGGGACCTTCTTTCATACACTGTACTGACTCCCATCATCACACCCACCCAGGGCCATGAGGCGCCCCCGCTGTGGTGTTCCAGACAAGTTTGGGGCTGAGATCAAGGCCAATGTTCGAAGGAAGCGATATGCCATCCAGGGCCTCAAATGGCAACATAATGAGATCACTTTCTGGTGAGTCCAACAGGCAAGCAGCTTCTCTCACATCTGATTACCATTCCCTGTCCCTTGTGCTTAAGGAGAGACTCAGACCTCCTGGGACGGGAAGGGGAGGAAAATGGCTGTCATCCTGGAGAAAGGTGCAGCCATCTGGAATACATCCCAGTGCTCCAGAACTAAAGGCTAAGGACCCTCTGTGCCTCGTTGTTTGGGGCAGAGACTGTGCATGAGGCAGCGGAAGGGCTGGGTCAGGCAAAAGCGGCTGGGCAGTTCAGTGAGGCCTGGGAAAGTGCAGGGAAGGAGAATTTTGCCCCTTGTTTTCCTAACACACCCCATCCTCTCCCCACGTGGCTGGACCCCAGCATCCAGAATTACACCCCCAAGGTGGGCGAGTATGCCACATACGAGGCCATTCGCAAGGCATTCCGCGTGTGGGAGAGTGCCACACCACTGCGCTTCCGCGAGGTACCCTATGCCTACATCCGCGAGGGCCATGAGAAGCAGGCCGACATCATGATCTTCTTTGCCGAGGGCTTCCATGGCGACAGCACGCCCTTCGATGGCGAGGGTGGCTTCCTGGCCCATGCCTACTTCCCGGGCCCCAACATTGGCGGAGACACCCACTTTGACTCTGCTGAGCCCTGGACTGTGCGGAATGAGGATCTGAATGGTGAGTGAGTCAGCCCTGAGGCTTACTCTGGGGAGAGTCAATAGTCCTTTCATAGAAGGAGGCTCTTTCCCAAAACCTCAAACCCCCAAATCTCAGAGCTACAAAGGACCACAAAGTTTTCCTGATCTGGCAGCTAACAAAAGCAGGAATCCTATTTTGAACCATGATACCTGGTCCCTTCTCTCACCCACTGACTGGCTTCCAGGCAAAGGCTTCAGAGCATCCCCATCACCTGCTTTTCCAGGAAAATGCCATGTCTAGCTCATGGGAACAACTGAAGCCCAGAGAGCTCCTGGGCTTCCTTAACCCAGGACTTCCTGGCACCGGGATCCTGCCCCAGAGCTCTCGCTCACCTCCACCCAGAGGAGCTTGCTGACTGGCTTTGGGTGTTATCCACCAAAGAAGAAGCTGGGTCCCAGAATTTGGCCATTTTGGGTGGGATAATGACCACAGGCTTGGATGCGGAACAGAAGCCTGTGGTGAGGAAGCAGGAAGGCCGAAGGAAGGAACACGGGCTGCCCTCATTGACTGTGCCCCTCCCTCCAGGGAACGACATCTTCCTGGTGGCTGTGCATGAGCTGGGCCATGCCCTGGGCCTTGAGCATTCCAATGACCCCTCTGCCATCATGGCGCCCTTCTACCAGTGGATGGATACAGAGAACTTCGTGCTGCCTGACGACGACCGCCGGGGCATCCAGCAGCTCTATGGCGAGTAACCCACACCCACGCTCGTGCCCTTCTCTCTGCTCCTTGTCCCCTCCTGGTCTCTGGTGTGCATGTCCCATCTGTCATGCCCTGCAGTCCCCGCACCCCCCACCCGGCCTGACTCAGCTCCCACTTTACACCTGCCGTTTCTGCCTTCTCCCAGCTAATTGCCGCAACTTCCCCAGATACCCGTCCACAATTTCCTAGGGCGTCATCCGCCCATCTGTCTGTTTCTCTCTCCCTCTCTGCTCCAAGTCTGAAGTGCCCCTCATGTTCTCTGCCCCAGGGAGTGAGTCAGGGTCCCCTACCAAGATGCCCCCTCAACCCAGGACCACCTCCCGGCCCTCTGTCCCTGATAAGCCCAAAAATCCCACCTATGGGCCCAACATCTGTGATGGGAACTTTGACACCGTTGCCATGCTCCGAGGGGAGATGTTTGTCTTCAAGGTGAGAGGATGGAGTGGGCTGGTTTGGGGGGACTAAAGGACTTTATGTCAGGGAGGTTGGGTGACAAGAGAAGGACTGGAAATTAAAATTGAATAGTGAAGGGCAGTGGGGAGGCTTTGGGGACTGAGCTGGAGAATAAGCCACATGACATTTGTACTCTCCCCCCTTGGCTGGCTTCTAGGAGCGATGGTTCTGGCGGGTTAGGAACAACCAAGTGATGGATCAATACCCAATGCCCATTGGCCAGTTCTGGCGAGGCCTACCTGCATCCATCAACACTGCCTATGAGAGGAAGGATGGCAAATTTGTCTTCTTCAAAGGTAACCAGGCATTCACCTCAGTCTTTGGGAGTGGGGGTGGTCTCCTTAGAGAAACTAATTCAGCTTGACTCCCACAAAGACCCTCACAGCCCACGTTGAGCCCAGGTCCTGGTGTTCTCTTTCCACCCCAGGAGATAAGCATTGGGTATTTGACGAAGCCTCCCTGGAACCTGGCTACCCCAAGCACATTAAGGAGCTGGGTCGAGGCCTACCTACTGACAAGATCGATGCCGCTCTCTTCTGGATGCCCAATGGAAAGACCTATTTCTTCCGTGGAAATAAGTAAGACTTCACGCCCTTAACCCCAGGCCTTCCTCAGAAACCACCATGGTTATCCCCAAATTCCCTCAATGCTGGAGGAAGGCCACTTTACCCCCAAGATGTTTCCATGGAGAAGGAGGTGGCTGAGCCCCTGCTCTTGTCTAACAAGGGCAGCCCCCACCGGGTGCTGTACCAGGGGATGTGACCGGGTCACCATTTCAGACCTGGTCATTTGACGCCTCCTGCCCCTAGCACTGCGCCTACGCCTCAGCAGTCAGGCACTGTCATTAAAGACTGCCGGTGGCTCCTTGTAGCCTGGGCCCTCCCTTCCACCCCCACCTTCCGCTGCTTTCAGCCAAAGGCCCTCATTACTCAAAACCCCTGTCGACAGCCACCCTTGGCTCTCTGGTGAATTCAGTCCTGGGTCCTGCTACCCTCTGAGGACAGGCCCATTGTTCATCTACTTTCCTTCTTCCCCTCCCCCCGCCCCAGGTACTACCGTTTCAATGAGGAGCTCAGGGCGGTGGACAGCGAGTACCCCAAAAACATCAAAGTCTGGGAAGGAATCCCTGAGTCTCCCAGAGGGTCATTCATGGGCAGCGATGAAGGTGAGAGGGGCAAGGGAAGGTGTTCACAAAAGGAGGTTGGGAAGAGGGACTTGAGGAAGAGCTCTTTCCACCCCAGGAGATAAGCATTGGGTATTTGACGAAGCCTCCCTGGAACCTGGCTACCCCAAGCACATTAAGGAGCTGGGTCGAGGCCTACCTACTGACAAGATCGATGCCGCTCTCTTCTGGATGCCCAATGGAAAGACCTATTTCTTCCGTGGAAATAAGTAAGACTTCACGCCCTTAACCCCAGGCCTTCCTCAGAAACCACCATGGTTATCCCCAAATTCCCTCAATGCTGGAGGAAGGCCACTTTACCCCCAAGATGTTTCCATGGAGAAGGAGGTGGCTGAGCCCCTGCTCTTGTCTAACAAGGGCAGCCCCCACCGGGTGCTGTACCAGGGGATGTGACCGGGTCACCATTTCAGACCTGGTCATTTGACGCCTCCTGCCCCTAGCACTGCGCCTACGCCTCAGCAGTCAGGCACTGTCATTAAAGACTGCCGGTGGCTCCTTGTAGCCTGGGCCCTCCCTTCCACCCCCACCTTCCGCTGCTTTCAGCCAAAGGCCCTCATTACTCAAAACCCCTGTCGACAGCCACCCTTGGCTCTCTGGTGAATTCAGTCCTGGGTCCTGCTACCCTCTGAGGACAGGCCCATTGTTCATCTACTTTCCTTCTTCCCCTCCCCCCGCCCCAGGTACTACCGTTTCAATGAGGAGCTCAGGGCGGTGGACAGCGAGTACCCCAAAAACATCAAAGTCTGGGAAGGAATCCCTGAGTCTCCCAGAGGGTCATTCATGGGCAGCGATGAAGGTGAGAGGGGCAAGGGAAGTGGTTCACAAAAGGAGGTTGTGAAGAGGGACTTCAGGAAGTGCGGGAGGAAAGAGAATTATGTGGAAAGCAGTGATGGAGACAACAATAGTATTGTCCTTGCCCGCATGCCAGGCTATGCCCACTGCTCTACCAACCCTGGTACCATCATTTACCTCCATTTCATAGTTGAGGAAACTGGAAAAGGTTGAGGTGAACTCGACTGGCCATCACACTAACAGTGTCTGTCTGTTCTCCACTCTCTGGGTCTTCTGCTGGCCTCGGCCCCCATGTTTTGTCCTCGTCGCCCCTTTCTTGTTGATCCTCTTCAGTCTTCACTTACTTCTACAAGGGGAACAAATACTGGAAATTTAACAACCAGAAGCTGAAGGTAGAGCCGGGCTATCCCAAGTCAGCCTTGCGGGACTGGATGGGCTGCCCATCGGGAGGCCGGCCTGACGAGGGGACTGAGGAGGAAACGGAGGTGATCATCATCGAGGTGGACGAAGAGGGCAGCGGGGCAGTGAGCGCGGCCGCCGTGGTGCTGCCCGTGCTGCTGCTGCTCCTGGTGCTGGCGGTGGGCCTCGCAGTCTTCTTCTTCAGGCGCCATGGGACCCCCAAGCGGCTGCTCTACTGTCAGCGCTCTCTGCTGGACAAGGTCTGACCCCCACTGACAGCCCACCCACTCCTCCCATGAGGACTTGGCCTTTGAAGGCCAGTGGCAGCAGGTGGTGGTGGGTGGGCTGCTTCCACCTGTCCTGAGACCCCTCCCCCCAGCGTCCCTTCTTCTCTCTGTCCCCTGATGGTCCTCTCCCACCCTCCCTCACCCCTGGCATTGCTTCTTCCCTAGACAGGAGCCCCGAGGGCTGAGTGGGAGGGCAGCCCCTTCCAGCTTCTGCCCCTCAGGGAAGCCCTGCAGCTTGATGTGTGTCCAGCCCTATCTGAATGTCATGAGGGCTCTGCACTTGAAGGCAGGACCCTCGGACCTCGCTGGCAAAGGTCAAATGGGGTTATCTGCTCCTTTTCCATCCCTTGACATACCATAAACCTCTGAACTCTGACCTCAGGAGGGTCTGGGCACTCCAGCCCTGCAAGCCCCATGTGTACCCAGTAAGCAGCCTCCCACCGCTCACTTTCTGGCTAAAAGACATCTAATCTTGGGGGGCAGAGACCTGAGGCATGGGCAGGGGTGAGGACTGCCCAGCTTCCCTAAGACCTTGGGAGGATATCTCAGAGAGAGTCTTCCTTGCCTGGTCAGTCGCGTCCCTCTCCACAAAGATCTGCCTCTGCCCCACCTTCCCAAGGACCTCCAAGGAAGGAGCCTGAGCCATTAAGGACGAAACTGGGGCTGCAGAAGCCTTTGCAGCCTGCCCTTCTCAGAGGGTAGCCTTGAGTGGGGATTTTCAGGTTGGAAGAACCGAAACAGGGGCCCAGCTCCCAGTGGGGTGGGGCCAAGGGGAAAGATTCAGGTCTGGAGCCCTGGGGGTGAGCCTGAAGGCCCCAAGAAAACTTTGCTCCCACATGAGCAGAGCAGTCAGAGGGAACAAGATGGGACCAGAAGAGGAAATGAGGGCGTCCCACAGCAGAGAACCATTGTGGCTGGGCGACCAGGCCAGCAGGGCTGCCCCAATGGGCCATGGTACCCAGGGCAAGGCGTGTTCCATTTGTGTGCTCAGGAAGGGCCCTAAGGATGAGCACTGGCTCCTCTTCGATCTTCCTTGCAGACCAGCCAGTGTGGAGGGGAAGATGGGAGGCACAGAGGAAGGCGCAGAGAGGGCACACAGACTGGGACTGGAGACTTGGGGACTTTCGTGAGAGAGGCCACTTAGTTGAGGACTAGAGGAGGCTGCCAGAGGCCTGCGGCGCTAGTCTTTGTCCACCTCGCCGTGTCAGTGAGAGGGCAGGTGCCCGGGCATTACTTCACAGTGCCCGGACTCAGTCTGTCTTCTTGGTGTCCTGCCCTCCCTCTCCCCAACCAGCCCACCCAATGGAAGTCTCCTTCGACCACCAAAGGTGGTGGTCATGGTACCGGGGACTTGAAGAGGGACCCTGTGGAGGAGTGAGAGGAGAAGCATGTAGGGCGGGGGGGGGCCTGGGAGTAGGGAAAATGGGGAAAATGGTGCTGGCAGTTCGGCTAAATTTCTGTCTTGTTTGTTTTTTTTTTTGTTTTTGTTTAATGTATATTTTTATTATAATTATTATATATGAATTCCATTCAAATTGTTCCCTTTTAACAAGGGGCATGGGGAGGGTAGGGGGCGTGGGGTGGGGTAGGGGAGGTGGGGGAATGGCGTGTGCCTCGGAGGGGCTGGGTTGGGGAGAGGCATGCGCTATGAGCAGCATCTTCCATGAGGAGGAGTTTGGATAGTTTTCATAAAGAAATATACTTGGTACTGGGCTGAAAGGATGCAAGGCCGGAGTTGGGGAGTGGGGCATACCCTAAGGCAGGGGAGCAGCTGACAGAGCCATCTGCTCTCTCCCAACCTTTGAGGTGACCCAGTGCTGCTGAGACAAGGGGAAGTGGCAGCTTGGAAAATCTTCCTAAATTGCGTTGCTCTGTCCTGTGATCTGGCCACAGACCCTCAGTTTCCTCGTGCCTCTGCCCGCAGGAGGGGGATTCCCTGGTCACATCCAGCCTCAGGCTGCGTGACAGACACTCACCCCAGCCCTCTGGTGGAAGAAGCCTCTTCCAGACCTGGGGCTCTGCTGCTGAGCGGAAGGAAACAAGGCAGAAAGAGAGAGGTTGCCTCATGACCCATTAGGAGAGCCGGTCTCTGGAAAAACAAAGATCTAACTTGAATTGCCCAGGAGAGCCAGGATAGTCAGGTTGGAAGGGCAGAATAACAAGGCTTTGTTTCCTCTTTCCTTAGAAACTGCTGCCCCAGACAGGGTTCCCAGGCTGTGACCCACCCTTCCTCCAAAACCAGCCTGGAGGGAGGACTCAGCTCAGCTGCTGAGTCAGCTCAGCTGGAGGAGAGCAGTCCCTTGCTCCACACCCCCCCTTCCTGCCTCAGCCCGGCCCACCTGGGCGCCCGCCCAGGCCCCCTCCGCAGCCTGCCTGGCAGAGCCTTGGCCACACCTATGCCAGTCCGTGTCTCCAGCTGCTATTCAGGGCTGGTTGGTGTGATTGCTTTGGCAGAAGGGGTGCCCCACCTTCTTGCCAGCCAGGAACCCTGACCCAATGCCTGGCCTGCACCTCCCTGCCAACAGCTGTTTGGCAGGGTCTGTGTCTCAGCAGAGTTGGACATCACCTCCCCACCACCCTCACCCAAAGGGATGAGGGCCTTAAGAAGGGCCACAGAGGCATCTGGGGGCGGAGGGCCCGTGCGTGTGGCAAAGAACTCAGAGATGAGCTCATGGCCCCTTTGTGTTTTCGTGGTCCACATCTGGAGACAATTACAGATGTTATCCAGTGGGAGTTCTGCAAAACACAGCTGGAGCCAGCGAGGAGCCTGGGGAGGGGAGACTGCCAGAGGGAAGAGAAGGGGGAGCCCGCGGCTGGAGTGCGGTTTCCCCATCACGAGGAAATTGTTTGGCCCTGATTCTGGAATCACAAGATGCTCCCTGAAGCCAAGGGGAGAGCCGGGGATGGAAGAGCAGGGACAAAGGGGGAAGAAGTGGGAGACAGGCTTTCCAAGCAGGGGGAACCGCCGGGTGGAGGCTGCAGGCTCTGGTGTTGCTGCCAAGCTTGGGCCTGCCTCATCCACCCCAGAGAGGCTGCCCAGCAACCTTGGGAGGTGCCTTGGTGATCGCAAGGCCCCACTTGAGAGGGGCTTGGGCGCGGGCGGGGGGGGGCACTTCGTCCATTGGGCCTGACCCAGTTTCTACAGTTCCAAGTTCCTTTATTCGAAAGCAGCACACGCGAGTGGAGCTGCCAGGAGAGCACCAAGATGTGCATGGGGGTTTGGGCAGGGCCCGGGGAAGCGGTGCTAAGGAGACGCTGGCCAGGGGCAAGGCCAGGGCCAGGCTGTACGCGGCCCACCCCTGTACTCCACATATTTGGGGACCAGGCACCCCCTCATCCTTGCCACCCCATCTCCAGGCCTCCTGCCACAGCTGGGCTCCTGCCT